GATGCAGAGCAGAGTGTGAGCTATGTCTCCAAGTGCCAGCCACCTCTCCCTTCCCAGAAGTGGCCGCACTGTTTCACCACCTTCCCCAGTTCACATCCATTCCACATTCTCGGCTCTTTCCAGTTCTGCTACCACCCAAAACTACCTCACAGCATTTCACTGTCCCTGCATCCAACTTTCTTCTCAGCTTCCTTTTCCTTCTTTAGTAACATTTTAAATATTTTACTTATTAATAATACATACATATAATGTGATTAGACCAAATCCACCTCCTATTCCCTAGCTTACAACTTCTCCCCAAGTTCCCCCACCACTTTTCCCTATCAGCTTTCCTTTTATTTTTAGAGACAAGCTCTTACTTATGAGTCAGTTCTCTTCTTCTGACATTTAGATGCCAGGGATTGAACTCAGTTCTTCAGGCTTAACAGCAAGCAGCCATATCCAGGGAGCCATCTGACCAGACCAGATCATACTCTAGCCCATACTGACCTTACTGAGTTGCACAGCCTGACCTTGATCTAGAGGCAATCCTCCTACCTCAAGTTTCAGCTGAGACTGCAGATGTGAGTCACTAAAATAATTAACAGAGTTCTTGGCAACCACACTATTTAAGACAATTAAGAGTACATGAGTCCTTTTGTTAGTCACCAACCAAGATCTGGGTTCATCTGTCAGAGTTTCTTGGTGTCAAAGCTCAGCAGTACTGCATTTTTAAGACCAAAAAAAAAAAAAAAAAAAAAAAATCACAATAAGTGTTTGAGGGGATTCTGAGCAACACCTATGCTTTTGCAAAGCTTTGCAGTGTTTTCAAGATACCACACAACAACTGTTTCTGATTCACACTTCCTTTTAGTTTTTTTAGTTTTCTGTTTTATTGTGCACAAACATCAGTTATTCTAGTTAATGCATCTGGACCATGGTCAGACTCATGAACAGTTCCAAAAGCACTGCCAAGGTAGATGTGGCTATGTGGCACATGGGGAGTGGACAGCTGAGGAGTGTCTAGGCAGACACAAAATAGAATCAGGACAAAATGGCATCCCCTTAGAGGCATTTCATCACTGTGCCTGCTTCCTACTTCCTTTTGTCAACACTTAATGAAAACATTCTTGTTACAATTTTTTATTTTATTTTATTATTAATTACAGTTTATTCACTTTGTATCCCCCCTGTACCTCCCTCCCTCCTCCCCTCCCAATCCCACTCTCCCTCTTCCCCACCCATGTCCCTCTCCCAGTCCACTGAAAAGGGAGGTCCTCCTCCCCTTCCCTCTGATCTTAGTCTATCAGGTCTCATCAGGAGTGACTGCATTCTCTTCTGTGGCCTGGTAAGGCTGCTGCTCCCTTGGGGAGAGGTGATCAAAGAGCAGGCCAACCAGTTCATGTCAGGACAGTCCCTGTCCCCATTTTTATTCAAGAATTTGCAGGCAAATGGATGGAACTAGAAAAGATCATCCTGAGTGAGGTAACCCAGACCCAGAAAGTGGTATGTACTCACTTATAAGTGGATATTAGCCATAGAGTACAGGGTAACCATACTACAAGCCACAGACCCAAAGAAGCTAAGCAACAAGGAGGGCCCAGAAGAGGGCTCCAGAATGTCACTCAATAGGGAAAACAGAATAGAAAGCAGAAGTGGATGAAGAAAGGGAACTGGGCAGGAGTTGGAATTGGGAGGGAAAGAGGGGTGGGGATCAGATGTGGGAAGAATGGGGTTGGGAGATGAGAGGGCTTTGAACAAGAAGGGAAACTGAGGGGGGCATCTCTTTAACAAGCTAGAGGACTGCAATAGAGTAGGCTCCTGGGAGGATATGAGTGTGACTCTAACTAGGACTCTTAACTGGGAGGACATGGAGACTGAAGTGACTACCTCCTAGCCAGGCAGGACTAGTGGAGGGAGGTGGACAACAACCACCAACAAAACCGGCGATCCAAAAATTACCCTGCCTACAGGAAGTGCAGGGATAAAGAGGGAACAGAGATTGAGGGAATGTCCAACCAACAACTGGCCCAACCTGAGACCCACCCCATGGTAGAGAGCCACCTCCTGACACTATTAATGATGCTCTGCTATGTTTACAGACAGGAACCTAACTTGACTGTCTTCTGAGAGGCTCCACCCAGCAGTGGATAGAGACAGATGCTGGGACTTGCAGCCAAGCATAGGGCAGAGCTCCAGGGGTCCTGTGGAAGTGTTGGGGTAAAGATGGAAGGACCTGAAGGGAACAGGAACCCCATTTAGCCAACAAAGATAAGTAACCCAGTCCCATGGGGGCTTACAGAAACTGAGACATCAACTAAGGAGCATGCATGATCTGGCCCCTTCCACATATGTGGCTGATGGATGGTTTGGTCTTCATGTAGGTTGCCTGGTGAGTTGGACCAGTTCCCCCTGGCAGGGCTGCCTTGCCTGGCAGGATATGCTCAGTCCTGATGTATCTTGACTTTCTGAGGAGGTTTGATACGGGGGGGAGGGGGGGACTCAACTTCTCTGGGGGAAAAAGGAGAGGGGAAGGGGGAGGAGGAGAGGGAGGGGTAGTTTGGAGTGTAAAGTAAATAAACAAATAAAATTAAATTTAAAAAAGAATGTCATACATGAATATGATGAAATATGATTATACCTATGAGAAACAGATAAAGTCCTGATTGCATGTGTATTGTTGACATGGAAACAGCCCTGTCAAGGACCTCAATGCTCCAGATCCATGAAAATGTCAAAACCTTCCTGCGGTAAGGCTCAGAGGGATGGCAAATCCTTCTTCTGGTCCAAGCAAGAATGTTTAAAAATTTTTGACCAGCATGGGCAAAAACTAGGAACCACATCTTCCTTTTCCATGATGACTACAACTTGAGAGTTTTTCCTTACAGATACCTCCCACCAAGACTAGTTAAAATCTCCTCCTTATTCTATACAAGGTACCTGTAAGTAGTGCCCTCCATCAGTTACTGTCAGTGAGAGAGCCGACCAGTTGTAGGAGGTGAAAACATAAGAGGGTAATGGGAATATGAACAAAGTACAATGATATACATATGTGAAAATGTCATAATGAAGCACATTGTTTTATATGCTAACTAAAAAATACTAATAAAAAATAAAATGGACAAAGTCCTGGATTTTATTTGTCTTCAAGAAGATATAAAATTCCCAGTAAGTATACAGAAAAGTATTCGGAATCACTAACCATACTGTAAGTGCCAATCAAAGCCACTGTAAGACATCACCTCACACATGCTAGGATGTCCATCACCAAAGGGAAGAGGTGACAAAGGGTTGTAAAGAGTGTGGAGAATAGGGAACCCTTGTACACTGCTGGAGGAAACATAGACTGGTACCGCCTTGATGGAAAATAGTATGGTTATTAAATAAATTTGAAAAGACCTGTTTATTGTGTTACCGTAATCTCTTCTTCTGCGTATATGCACAAATGAAATAACATCACCACCTCATAAAGATTCTTGCACTCCCATGTTTGTTTCAGTATTATTCACCAAGTTGTAGCAAGAATTTTCTTTATTTTTGACTTCTCCCTGGTACCTGTATGTCTCGTTAAGCAGATCTGAGTGTTTTTACCCACCCGGAAACCATTTAAACTTTTTTCATTTAAAAAGCTCTAGAGAGTGACTACCTTTCCACATTCTGTGTTAGTTATTTTTCTGGTGACTGTGATAAAACCAAGTTGAGAAGAGAAGGTGTCTTAGCTACTTTTTCTGTTTTTGTGATAAAACACCTTGACAAAGAAAGCAACTTAAGGGAGAGTCAAAAGTTACAGCCCATCATGGTGATGAAGTCATGGCAGCAGTAACCTGAGGTAGCTAACATATTGTACCTACAACCAAAAAGAAGAAAGTGATGAAACCTTGTGCTCAACATAGTCCAGAATCTCTTAGCTCAGGGAATATAGTAAGCAGGTCTTCCCACCTCAATTAACCTAATCAAAACAGTTCCTCACAAGCATATGCAGAAGGCAGTTGTTGGTTCTCCTCTTGAGAGACCAAAAGATTAAAAATCAGCAGCTATTAATAATATTTAAGGTCTGAACTAGGTGGGTGGAGAGTTCCAGTAATGCCCTGAGGGGAAGAACCCGCCTTACTGCATTCTTTCCCCACCCACTAGAGATACAGTTGCTAGGAAACTGGCCCATCCCCTAGGGAGGGACACCAGATCATTAATGGTTTGGGGACCTTCCTATAGCCAATCAATTCAAAATGGAGTGTTTCAACCAATAGATGCTTGCCAGGCAGGAATTGCCTCTGCCTCTGCTGGGAGGGACCATAATCTTTAAATCACTCAACTAATCTGAGCATGAGGCTCTCGGCTCTCACCGCTTCGGTGGTGGGGGTGGGGGGGGAAGCTGCAGCTTGTAATGATTTATAATAAAAAGAACCTCATGTATTTACAGCAGAGTCTATTTATTCCTGGTCTTTTGGGGTTCGCGAACTGGGCAGAACACTCTCACCTGAGTGCTGTCTCCCAGCATCCCAGGAAGTCAGGAGGCATACAAGACAAGAAGTATGCCTAGGATGGCCACTGAGCACCAAGCACCAAGTACAGGGATCACACACCCAGGGAACAGCTGATGGCTAATTCAACTTTAATTCCAGAGAACAAAGGCTATATACCTCTTGTGGGGTGGGGGCTCCAAGAATAGGTGTACATAATTGGTTGCAACTAGGCACTTCAAGGATGCTTGATTTGCATTATACAGCATGCTCCTATCATATAAATGAAAACACTGTATGTAATTAACATATATGTGCAGGGAATGGAGAACTAGCAAGAAGGTGTGTCAGAGGCCATATATCAAATGTGGTTAGAAGTATCTGTGTCTAAAGACACTCTCCAGATGAAGTCAGGCAAAGAGCAGGGGACCCCACTAAGGGGAAGGAGTACTGTCTCACAATGGCTATCTGGACCAGGCAAGAACTGCAACCTCAACCAGCAGGTACCTCCAACTGTAGTCTCCTAGGAGACTATTTCTCACTGTTACACCCAGTTCTTTAGACCCCCAAAAACCACCAGGAATCAACTCCACTGCAAATACATGAGGGTTTATTGTATAAATGCTCAAGCCACGGGTTGCAAAAACTTCCTGCAGAAGCAGGAAAGGAATGTGGCTCTGTGGTCTAGGGGAACAAGGTTTTTAAAGGAAAAAAAAAAACGCAAACAGAGAGTTACATGCCTTGGTGTTACATGATTGGGTAAGGGAAATTGACTTTTACTTTAGGCACCAAGACCATAAGCGGTTCTGGTCTGGCCATCTGGGCCAGTTTCCTAACAACTGTATCTCTAGTGGGCAGGAAAAGAATGCAGTAAAGCTAGGTCCGTAAGGTGGCTGGACATGTCTATACCTGGCTGGCCTTTGTTCAGAGTTATGACTTAAACTTTAAACTAATACCCCAAAAATCTAATTTTTAAACCTTTGGTCTCTCATCACCACATTGACAATTGAGAGTAACAAGGATTTGTTTTGACGTAGTTTGAAGTCTATCATGGAAGTGAGAATACAGTAGATGAAATGCCTCTATAAGTAGTGGCAGGAGCACAATACATCAGATCATTCTGTGTGTACAGTCTGGAAGCAGAGAAAGATCAATGAGTAATGATGTTACACTTAATTTCTCCTTTATAATCAATCTAAGACCTTGAACCATGAAATAATATCACCTATATTCAAAGTATGTCTTTCCATCTCTGGAGGAGCTCTGACAGACATAACTAGAGATATGTCTCCTGGGTGCTTCTAAAGTCCATCAACCTGACAGTCAAGGTTGATGTGTTCTGCATCACTAATCACCAGGGGTCCAGCCTGTGCAGCATTTCTTTCACTAGATGATGTAAACCATGGCTTACTAAGTTAACATGAACCCAAGGAAAGCACACATCTGACACGTACACTAGTGAGTAGGTGAGTGGGCAAATCACAAGGAATCAGAAGTTTCCTGAAAGATGTTTATGAGCTCCAGAGTCCCTTCACAGTGAACAAGCATCTCTACACTTGAGTCCATTGGCATTCCAGGCTAATGGCTTGAGTTGAAGAACATGAGAGTGTTGTTCTTGGAGCCTCCCCCTGCTGAAGAAGCACCTGCACAACTCACTGCTAGCTCTGAACCTCCTCTTGGGATAATGTGAGGGCAGCATATACACAGGTCTGTGTAGACATGTCCTGAAAACTACTGGAGGTATGTGAATCCATCCTCTCTAGGCAGATCTCTCGGCATAGCTGGGCATAAGTCACCTCCTGTGAGTCTTCTGCTGCAGACACCTACCATCATGAGACACAAATTATGAAGATAATACCCAGGATTCTAGAAAAGGAGAGCAGGGAGGAAAAGAGAGCTCACCTGTGTGTCCACCTGGCTGCCATTCTCAGGTTGAATGCCCTCCAAGTCATCATCTGGAAGAAAAGGTGAGAAGATGGGTCTGTTTCATGTGAGCCTCATGTAATGTATTTTATGTTTTGCAGATGACCAGCAGAACCCTAAGGAAAGACAATAACATCACACAGCAAGGTGGCCCCTCCCACCTCTTCTGCTCTTCCCTGAAGGCCTCCTAAGCCCCACAAGCATCCCTTTCCTCAGTGAGACTCACTCCACCTTACATTTATTGTTTTCTTCAATGTCCGGGGCTGGGCTGGAGCTGAATGAAAAGAAGTGGAAATGTTAAAGTATGCCTGAGAAACTATAGGATTTTTAGGAGTTGTGTGGATAGCTCAATAATAGAATGCTTGTCCAGCAGGAAGGGGCCCTGGCTTCAATTCCCAGTGCTCAGACAAAACTCTTAGCTGTTTCTCATGGGAGAGTCCAAATTTCCCTACCTCTTATATTTCACCTGGCTCCTGGTCTTGCCATTGGTGGTCCCTGCAGAGATACAGATATCAGTCATAGAATCCACCAATCCCCACACACCCATCCCAGATTATCCACTTCCCCAGTCCTGGCACGTACTGCATTTGGCCCAGTGGTGGCAGAGACAGATGAAGAGGAAAATAAGGAAGAGAAGGAAGCAGACAGCAGCAACTGAGCCCCAAACCACAGTAAGACCTGGTGAATCTGGAACAAGAAAACAGTATTGATCTGTTATTAAACATCTGTTACATTAGTTCACTAATTCATTCAAACATTTGTTGAGTACTTACCTTATACCAAACACAGAACTAAGCATTTAAAAGACTATAGGGAACCTACCTAATAAAATACTTGAAGCAATCAATTAATGTCTTATTGACTATATAGGTAGTATCTCTGATGAGTCTTTTAAACACAGCGTCTTACCAGGTCTCACCAGGATGACTTCAACCTTGAGACAATCCTGCTTTCAGATGCCAAAAGCTGGGATCACAGGAATGCACCAGCACACACAACTGATGAGACAAATTAAATACAATACCAAAGAAAATTCATTTGGGGAGATGGTCCATAAAGGAAAAAAAAAAACACCAGCCCTCCGAGGCTCAGGGAGAACTCTTCCCAAATAGTCTACAAAGAACATACACTAATCTTGAGCAGAAGCCTGAGTGAAACACATACAGAAAGGACAATCAGGATGGGAAGGTGTTTCTAATAAAAATCAGAGGTCAAAAGTGACATGCAACAGTCAGAAACTAAAAAACATAGCACGCTACCAAGACAAGTCTAAATGAAAATACAGCCTACAAAAGGTGATTGGCATTCAATGACTAAGCGTTGTTTGTTTGTTTGTTTGTTTGTTTGTTTTTAACAAGAAGAACAGAGCCTCTTAAAAACATGGACACACTCTAACATAGCAGGGACTTTCACACTTGTGTTAACTACTACTCGAGGCACAGCACCAGGAAATTGGACCAGGCCAGCTTAGCTGTCCATGCACTGATAAATGGATATAGACAATATGGTACATAGACTGGGTGAAACTTTACGCAGCTGGAGAGAAATGAAATCATGACAATAAGAAAATAAAAGAAACCAGAAATCATATATTACACCAAGTAAGCCAGACTCAGAGGGATAATACCAGATGTTTTTACTCAAATATGACACTTTTATCTAAAAGTGTGTGTGTGTGTGTGTGTGTGTGTGTGTGTGTGTGTGTGTGTTGAAACTAACAAGGGGATCATGAGAGAAAGAGAACTCAGGATAGGGAGGAAACTGAACACATAATAGGAAAATGTAATGGGAAAGCAGCAGTGGAGACCTCCCTGGGGGAGAAACAAGCAGCAGTATAACACACACGGCCTTGAACTCACAGAGAACTGAGTGCCGGGATTAGAAGTGTGTGTGCCACACACCTGGCCTGAAGTTTTACTTTAAAAGTTAATTGAGCCAGTCAGTGGTGGCATCCTACCTCGAATCCCAGCACTTGAGAGGCAGAGACAGGCAGATCTCTGAGTTTGAGGCCAACCTAGTCTACAGAGAAAGTTCCAGGACAGCCATGGTTACACAGAAGAAACCTGACTAGAAGAAAAACAAAATCATTTGCTTAAAAAGAAAAAAAGCAAAAGACTGGTGAGAGGCTCAGTGCGTAAGGTTACCTGCTTTGTACGCATGCAGAGCGGAGTCTAATGCCCCAGCACCACATGAAAAGGTGGCATAAGCTGTCTATGCTTGTAACCTCCGCATTGCGGAATGCAGACACGAGAGTCTCACGAGTTCCGTGCTCAGCCAGCATAACCACAAGAGCGAGCTGCAGGTTCAGTGATAGACCCTATCTCAAGGAATTAAGATGGACAGTGGTAGAGGAAAATCTCTGACATCTTGCTCTGGCCTCCACATGTGTGTATCACCCACATCCTCATGTGATACGCCACTCACAGGCCACACAAACTCACACTTAGAAAGAAAGAAAAAGCAGAACTAGGGACTAACTGTGGGGAAGAAGGAAACCAGGTGGCAGCTGAGAAGGGACATGGGGGGGGGGGGGACAATGAGAACAAAGTATAACAGCATATGTGCAATGATGCTTGAATAAAATTCACTACTTTGTGTGTCCTAATATAAAAACGCTTTTATAAATGTGCTTGTGATGGTAGTATTGATTAGCAACTAGAGAGTATCTACCAAGGGGGCAAGCTTCTGGGCATGTCTGTGAGGGGTAACCTAGATTCAGTGGTAACCTAGAGGTAACCCAGCCGTGCCTATGACAGATAGTACTGGCCAGATTAACTGCACTGGAAGCACCAACTCTAAAGAGAGACGCTCCATTCCCAGGACTAGAGTCTTGCATTGTATAAAAAATGGAGAAAGTTTACTGAGCCCAAGCAATCACCTCTCTCTGTTCCTTGCTTCTTGAGTGCTAATGCAATATGATCAACTGCTTCAAGTTCCTGCCACCATGCCTTCCTCACTATGATAAAGGTACCTCAAATACCTCAAACTATGAAATGAAGTAAACTTTGGCTTCCTTAAGTTGCTTTGGTCACGTGTCTCATTGCAGCAATAAAGAAGGTACCTAAAACAGTAGAATATACAGAGTGGGGTTTCATTCAGACATAAAGATGAACTAACGTAATTTTCCAGAATTATGAATGAAAATGGGGTTCTCATGTTGAATAAATTAAACCAGACTCAAATGATGTATGTGGAATCTTGAGATGTGTGTCTGTGTGTGTGTACACGTCTATAGAATATATATATTCGTGACATAAAAGTAGAAAACATACTAAATAATAATAGAAGACTGACAGGAGTCAGAGACAAAAGAAATGAATGGAGATGAATATTGTCATTGTACGGGATATACTTAAACGACAGTGTCATTATGTCATTATGAAACCTATCACTTTGTGCCATGAACAGAAACTTACAAAAAATATTTAATGTGAACTTCCTCTGGGATAAATGGATATAAGACATCAGGTAGAAAGAAGAAAGACAATAAAGTGGCTGGGTTAAAGGTGATGATGGCATGACAGAGATGACAACAAAGAAGAAACAGGATTTAAAAGATATTCCAGACACAGAAGATAGTTTGACAATGTGAAAACTGACAGTAAAAGAGGAATTTTGGTTCAAGAAAGACAGACGGACTGTCTGTCAATACAAGGACAGAAGTGAGGAGGATGTGTGGATACTTTCCAGTCTGGGGCTCTGTTGAGATGTGTGCTAAATGCTTGAAAAGACAGATTTCAAATATCCCATTGGAGATATAATCCTGAAGATCAAAGAGTATTTCTTGGCTGCAGCAGTAAAATTAAAAGCCATCAGAAAATGTTGCACAGAAATAGATGTCTCAGTATGTGCAGACCCCACAAACACTCCTGTAAGCCACCTGCTCACATAAAAACTCAGTGTTCAATCCTCTTCTTTATTCTACATGGGATTTCTTCCCCTGCCTCCTCATGACCATCTTCCATCTTTAACCCATGCACTTTGATGTTTTCTATAGCTGTCAAGTTGAACTTCCATGGCCCTGCCTCCTTTGTTCCCCATTCTTGAAACATGTCCCATCTCTTAAACTCCCAAGACATCCCAAAAGACCAAAAGTTCTAAGACATACAAAAGTAAGTTCCCTCCACCAAGAAAGCTGACACCGCCATGTTCTCTTCTGAGAATTTGCCTCCATTACTTTCTTTTGTCTCTGTTCCCAGTCCCACCAGTCTTCTATTCTTATCCAGTCTCTTTTCTATTTTTGTGTCATGAATATGGACATTCAAGGGAACCCTCCTAGGTTCTCTTCTGTAAATGTTTCCTACATTTTCCACCGGACAGAGGGTTGGTCAGAGGTAGCACTGTGATGACGAAATGTGGTGGGACAGATAAGTGGAATCCTCATCCCTCATCAAAAATAACTTCCCTTTAACAAATGAAGACCATTACATACACCAATACAAACACAACAAATCAAAATGCAGAGTATGGAACTCAGATGCAATGGATTCATCTACCAAAAAATCACATACATTGTGAAAGAGGGGGAGGAAAAATTATAAGGGCCAAAGGAACAGGGAATTTGTTGTGGAACTGCATCTCCTTGAAATGTCAGAAGCAACACCCATAAAGTTTCACCAACATGACTGCCTAAACATGAGCTGAACAAAAACACCAAAACAGACATGCCAGTGTGAATGGTAGAAAGCCAATGAGGGCTCAACCCTGCCCAAATAACTACAGGGAACCTGGGATGCTGAGAATGGCAGAAATAGTCTTCCCCAGAGATGAGCATACCAACTGGTTGGCTCTGAAAACATACATACAAAAACATTATACAGATTAAGGTGGTTATAGTGTGTGTGTGTGTGTGTGTGTGTGTGTGTGTGTGTGTGTGTATGCACGCACGCACACGTGCGCACTTGACAATTAATATAAAAGGAAGCCATGAATTTGATAGAGAGTAAGGAGGGGAATAAGGGAGAGTTTAGAAGGAGGGAAAAGAAAAATGATATAATTATATTATAACCTAAAAAAGGAAAGGTGTGATCTTTTGAGTTCTAGAAACTCATGTTCAATGAAAAATCTACCAGACTCTCTTTCAGCATTCTATAGTTATTGTCAAGTGATGTGATTTCCTTCTCTCTCTCTCTCTCTCTCACACACACACACACACACACACACACACACATGCATACCCACATACCTCTGGTGGAAAACAGTCAGCAATCAAGTAGTACAGAATCATTCAGCAGGGTTCTTATTATGAGTAGGAAAGGACTTCTATGTCACAAATCAACATAACTGAATCTGCCCAAAATAATATCAGTAACATATAATATTCATAGCCCCTAATGCAAATGAAGAAATTTCAGTCAGAATACCAGTGCAGTGTGCAATAAAGCAGACATAAGATGAAATTGATGTATCCCACATGGCATCATCCCTGAAGCCTCTCTACACACAGAGATAATGAACAAGTATCAGACATGCTTACCTGAGAAAGAGAGCTCAAGAGGGTCACTAGGCAGTGACCACAGGTTGGGGTTGTTTCTGTAAGAGCCAAAGCATCTATAGGTACTCCTGTGCCTTGAGCTCCCAGGAGAGATGGGAAATGTGTTGGAGTCCTGACGTAAGCAGTTCTGGGGAAAGGAAGCATTTCCATCTCTGCAGAAGATGAAGGTGTCAAAGAAAGTAGGTGGATGACAGAGGAGAGTCACATTTCTTTCTGAGAGGCCCTGGGGTTCTGAATCAACAGTAAGCAATGGCTTTTCATGGTAAACACCTGGAAGGGAAAAGACCCTGTTATTAGCTGGCCATGGTAGCACATGCCTTTAATCCTAGAACTCAGGAAGCAGAGGCAAGTAGACCTCTGCAACTTTAAAACCAGCCTGGTCTGTATAGAAATTCAAAGACCAGACAGAGTTACATGTGAGACCCTCTCTCAAAAAAGATCACAGAAAGATCCTGTTACTTAAAACATTATTAAAATTAACCCTGCAATTCACAGTCTGTGCAGAGAGAGGAAAAACGTGAAAACAAAAGGAAATTCATCCATTGCTAAACTATAGGAATCACAATATGTGTTTCTCTTATTTCCTATGAACCAGGACCATAGAGAGATTCTGTGTAGTTACAGAAGGATGTTGTCATTCCCCATGAGCTCCATCTCTTAGGGACCATAGTCACCATTCTTAAGGGAGCCTAGAGCACAGTCAGCACAGAGAGAGGATCACAAACTGACAGAGGGTCAGGAAATGAGACTTAGTTGGTATAGTCTTGCCTAACACAAGCAATGCCCTGGGTTCTGTTCCTGTCAATTCATAAGTGCTGTGGTTGTCCAGACTGGTCCTAGAAGCAGAAGGAGCAGAAGTTCAAGATAACTTTTGGATACCCTTGAAGTACAAGGCCAGACATATTTGAGATATTGCCTTAAAAAAAAAAAAAAAGTAAAGAAAAATGGAAACGGAAAAGAAAAGGATGAAATGAAAGAAGAAAGAAGGAGATGACAGGAAAAGATATGAGAAGAAACGACAGGAAAATAGAGGAAAGGAAAAGAAAGAGGAGAGACCAAGGTGTTGGAGCACAGATTAGGGCAGGGCCTGTGAGGGGACATATGTGAGGGGAGCAACAGTGACTGAGGCTGAAGAACACTGTTGTTGGCAGTTACTCACCTGTCACCATCAGCTCCAGTTTCTCACTAAGTGCAGACCATCTGTCTTCCTTGTAGTAGTCACAGTAGTAATCCCCTGCATCGACGTGAGCCACATTCTGCAGACTGAACTCAAAAACCTCCTGGGCTCCCTGCATAGTAAAATCATGGCACTCTCTATGAGAATCAGAATGGACCAGACAAACTATGCTCACTCCTGGAGGGGTCCTGCAGAAGATGGTCACAGCACTGCCTGTGGACACCACAGCTCCTGGAACTGCCCAAATAGAAGACTGGGGCAATGGACCTGGAGAGACACGGAAAAAGAACTCTAGCCATCAGATGTCAGGAGAGCCTGGTTCCCAAAGAGCTATGGACTGGCTCCCACATCAATCATTCATCCAGAAAAATGCCACACAGGCATGCTCACAGGCCAATATGGTGGAAAAAAATCCCTCTGTTGGCATTCCTTCTTCCCACATGACTTCAGCTTATTTTCTGTTGAAAGAAAACTAACCAGGACACCTCCGATGTGAAGGCTCAACTCACAGTTTTCAGAATTCCTGACGTATTTCAAGTGGCATAATTAATCGTCTTTCTGGTTCACAAACAATGTTGGAATAACTCTCATCTTTAGTGCTATCTAATGCCTTCTCCTCTCATCAACTGCCAGCCCAGGAACGAACCTTCAGCATTGTCATTCTTAGCACCACATCATGCCACTTCCCTGGGACAGTCACCACGGTGTCCCATTAAATCCCTGACCTATGTCTTACTTTGTCTCTTGCTGCCATGTCAACCCAACCACTCTGCACACCTCCAATATCAGATAAGATCTAGGAGCCTCTGAAAATAAAGGAATCCTGTCTGTGCTGCACCTCAATAGACAGCATTAGCTTCAGTTCTGTCCCATGGATGATGTGTCCAGGAGTAGGACACAAGTAGGACACAGGAAGACACAGGCCAAGTGAACAGAGATGTCTGTATCCTCAGGAAGTGTGTGTGTGAATGCCCCTTCTCTGTGTCATGTCTTTTGATATCCTTCTGAGCCAGATATCATGTGAGTATTACTAGACAAAGGTGGAGAATCCACACTCCAAAGATGGCTGCAACATACAGATTAAATATGAGGAAAATGTACAGGTAGCTGCTGATGAACATCCATCTCAGGATGTGAGCAAGATGCGGCAAGCTGCTCCCATGCTACTCCCACACAAATTCAGTTTCCCAGGGTAAAAGCAGACAACAGACTCACCAGAGTGTGCCCAGATCCTCTGCTCTATTAAACACACTGAAACAAAAAAAAAAAAAAAAAAAAAAGAAGAAGATCTAGTGAGAGATGTCATGTCATACACTGATCCCAACCCTAGAGCTCAGATAAAAAAGACCAGGGCCAGGTGAACGTGCTCTGGTCAGGAGTGACCGCTTAGTTCCCATTCCAGGTCTTCATAGAGGAAAAGTTTTGTCACAAGATCCCAGGTTTTAAATCCGAGAGTCTGAAGTCATCACCCTCAGGCTAAGAATAACGATCCCTGTAGCACTTACCAAATCCAAAAAGAACAGCCTCAAGGCCCATGGCAGTGCCTCACACCAGATCTCCACATACACAGACACAGAAAACTAGGGGCAGAGTCTGCACAGTGGACACACCCATGGGGGAGAGCAGACTGGGGCCCAGAAACGCTGTCAAGGATGGTGTCATCTCAAAATCCAGGAAGAGGATATTCTCTTGCACAAGATCTGCCTCTGACTCCTTATTTCTACATCACAGCTCTGGGCCAGGCAACAGTTCCTCTATGTGTTTCCTCTTCTGAACTTTTTTATTTTATTTTTTTTTATTTTATTGTATTTTATTTTATTTTAAATTACACTTTATTCACTTTGTATCCCCCCATAAACCCCTCCCTCCTCCCCTTCTGGTCCCACCCTTTCCTCCCCCTTCTTTACCCATGCCCCTCCCAAAGTCCACTGATAAGGGAAGTCCTCCTCTCCTTCCTTCTGATCTTAGTTTATCAGATCACATCAGGAGTGGCTGCATTGTCATCTTTTGTGGCCTGGTAAGGCTGCTCCCCCCTTAGGGGGAGGTGATCAAAGAGCAGGCCAATCAGATTATGTCAGAGGCAGTTACATTACTTGGTAACCCTCTTGGACATTAAACTACCATGGGGTACATCTGTGCAGGGGTTCTAGGTTATATCCATGCCTGGTACTTGGTTGGAGTATGAGTCTCTGGGAAGACCCCTGTGTTCAAAATTTCTGGTTCTGTTGCTCTCCTTGTGGGGTTCCCGTCCTCTCCAGATCTTACTATTTCCCACTTCTTACATAAGATTTCATGCACTCTGCCCAACCATTGGCCGTAAGTCTCAGTGTCTGCTTGATAGTCTGCAGGGCAGAGCCTTTCAGAGGCCCTCTGTGGCAGGTTTCTAGGTTGTTTCCTGTTTTCTTCTTCTTCTGATGTCCATTCTCTTTACCTTTAAAGATGGGGATTGAGTGTTTTAGTCAGGGTCTTCTCTCTTGATTAGTTTCTTTAGATGTACAGATTTTAGTATGTTTATCCTATGTTATATGTCTATATGAGTGAGTATATACTGTGTGTGTCTTTCTGCTTCTTGGACAGCTCACTCAGGATGATCCTTTCCAGGTCCCACCATTTACCTGCAAATTTCATGAATTCCTTATTTTTCATTACTCCATTGTGTAGATGTACCACAATTTCTGCATCCATTCTTCAGTTGAGGGGCATCTGGCCTGTTTCCAGTGTAAGACCTGGGGTCTCACAGCTCAGGAGTTCAAGATCGCGCCCTTCCCAGAAACTCCCCCAGACCAAGACTCGTTGCAAAAGCAAGAGGTTTATTAACCATTGCGCAATGGGGTCACCCCTGCCGGTCAGCAGAGAGTGGCACCAGGAGACAAAGGCCTTTAGGTTTTTGAAAGAAAAATTGCGGGAGATTTGAAATTAGTCTTGGCAATTTAGGATTGGATGAGGAAGCTATAAAGTAAAATAATTGGTTAGTCTTAGGTGCTCAAGCTTGGCCAGTCCTGCCAAATGTGGATGCAGCTGCAATTGAAGGTGGGGGTGGTTAGCTCATCCTTGAAGATTAGGGGCTACAGACTTTTGGCTGGAGGTCAAAAGTTACTCAGAAGAAGTCTAGGTTTGTTGCTAAGAAATGCTATCTCAAAGACAGGAGTTTTTCTTTTTGCTGAGTGAAGGTCATTGCTTGCTTGCCTTTTTTTCTATCTGTCCTCATAGATAGGGTCACATTTTTCCATTCTCTGGAAAGGTACTAAGAGGCTTTAGCTTAACCTGAACCTAAAACTCAAAACTATAGGCTTTAGAAGACATACAGGTTACAAAGTTAGTCTAACCCTTTCACCAGCTTCTGGCTATTACAAATAAGGCTGATATAAACATGGTTGAGCAAATGTCCTTATTGTGTACTTGAGCTTCTTTTGGATATATGCCTAGGAGTGGTATGGCTGGATCTTGAGGAAGCGCTATTCCTAGTTGTCTGAGAAAGCACCAGATTGCTTTCCAGAGTGGTTGTACAAGTTCACATTCCCACCAGCAGTGGAGGAGGGTTCCCCTTTCTCCACAACTTCTCCAACATGTGTTTTCACTTGAGTTTTTAATCTTGGCCATTCTGATGAGTGTAAGGTGAAATCTCAGGGTTGTTTTGATTTGCACTTCCCTAATGGCTAATGACGTTGAACATTTCTTTAAGTGTTTCTCTGCCATTCAATATTCCTCTACAGAGAGTTCTCTGTTTAGCTCCGTTCCCCATTTTTTAATTGGATTACTTGGTTTACTGCTTTTCAGATTCCCTGATCTTAAGTTGTACTATAGAGCAACAGTTATAAAAACTGCATGGTACTGGCATAGAAATAGAATGGTGGATAAATGGAACCAAACAGAAGACCCAGAAATAAACCCACACACTTATGGACACCTGATCTTTGACAAAGATGCCAAAACCATTCAATGGAAATAAGATAGCATCTTTAACAAATGGTGCTGGTCCAGCTGGGTGTCTGCATGTAGAAAAATGAAAATAGATCCATACTTATCACCCTGCACAAAACTAAAGTCCAAATGGATCAAAGACCTCAACATAAAACCAGAAACATTAAATCGGTTAGAAGAAAAAGCGGGGAATACCCTAGAACTCATTGGTATAGGAGACAACTTCCTGAAGAGAACACCAACAGCACAGGCTCTAAGATCAACAATCAATAAATGGGACCTCATGAAATTGAAAAGCTTCTGTAAAGCAAAGGACACCGTCATCAAAACAAAACGACTGCCTACAGATTGGGAAAGAATCTTCACCAACCCTTTATCTGATAGAGGGCTAATATCCAGTATATACAAAGAACTAAAGAAGCTGAAAAGCAGCAAACCAAGTAATCCTCTTCTGGATTTAAAGTCTCACAGAAATTATGAGTGTGGGTATACTATCCTCTGTTGTAGACTTGTAGGCAATGTATCAGAGAAAACTGAAATGGAGGCAGAAAACATGGATCCCAAATACTCCATGAATCCCATGCAACAGTAAGAATATTCAGGATGGGATATAATAAGACATGAAATACGACAATTTGAAACACAGGAGGGAAGATCCAGGGAAGAAACACACCAATGCTTCTGTATATGTGCATGCTCTCAGCAAATACATCCCAACCAAATGACTACACAGCCAAATCCTTACAGTTGACAATACCAAAAGGGAACAAACAGGAACATAAATAACCCAACTCAAAAACAGGCTATGGAAGTAAACACAGAGTTCTCAGAAGGAAAAAAAATGGTTAAGAAGCATTTCCAAAGTGTTCATAATCCTTGTCCACCACAGAAATTCAAATTAAAACTACTTTAAAATTTCTTATTACCCATCCAGAGTGAGTGATTAAAAAACCAAAAGAAGGACCATACCACACATGGGGGAAGACAACCAGAGGCCTGTCAGCAGCCACAGCCTGTGGCACAGGTGAGTGGAAGGCACCCAGAGGCCAACCCACTGCAGCCTGCAGTCGGAGCCACTATGATGTGCAAGTATGTGGTGTAGAGATGGTAAAGAAAGACAAACGGCATGGTTTGAGAATTATAAAGACAGGCAGAACTTCACACATCACAATGGAGAGGAATAGCCTGATGTGGGTAGCCTGTCCTGCACCTGAGGCCATGTTACAGTTCAAGCCCATGCTGCTGCTGAGACCCAAGTCAGGTCCACGGCCATGAGCCAGGCCCAGATCCACAGTCTTAATTGGGTCCACCCTAACATCAGCCTGATCTATGAACTACTGGAGCACTGGAAAGAGCTGGTCCTACAGAACCAACGCTGCCGGATCTCCATGACACAGGGCAACAACAGTACTCTAGAGGAGGCCCAGGGAGGGTCCCATATCAATAGTGTAACAGAAGCCAGAGGCGTTAAACCACACCAATGACTCGTTGCAATGAATATTTGCAAGTAAACAGGTGTGGACAAAAGGGTGTACTGTGTGACACACTGACACACTGCAGCTTCCATGATGAGATTCTTTTATGTTTGCTTTTGGATTTTTGCTGTTGTTTTTTATTTTCTTTGAAGGAGGAGGTTGCAAGGGCAGAGAGAGGATGAGAAGGGATGTTGAGATGAGCAGGATTAGGATACATGTTGTGAAACTCATAAAGAATCAATAAAAATCTAAGAACAAGAAAGAGAGAGGGAGGGAGGAAAGGAGGGATGGGGGAAGAACGAAGGGAGGAAGGAAGGAAGGAAGGAAGGAAGGAGGGAGGGAGGGAAGGAGGGAGGGAGGGAGGGAAGGAAAGAAGGAAGGAGGGAAGGAGAAAAACAGGGCTGAGTATTTTGGGGTGATTGAGAACTCTATCTGCTCTTGGAGGGAATACAAATTGGTATAGCCAATGTGGAAATCAGTGTGGTAGTTCTTCCTCAGAAAACTGAAAGATCTACCATGTGACCCAACTATACTGCTCCTGGCAAATAACCAAATGATTCTCCTCCCTGCTACAGAGACACATGCTCTTCCATGTTCAGAGCTGCTCAATTCACAATAGGTAGGGCACAGAAGCATCTTAGTGGTCCATCCAACTGCTGAGCTGATGATCAAAATGTGGTACTCTGGTGGTTTGAATAAGGGTGGCCGCCATAGGCCCATAAATTTGAATGCTTGGTTACCAGAGAATGGCACTTTTTGAAAGGACTGGGCAGTGTTGGAGAACGTGTGTCACTGAGTGATGGCTTTGAGGATTCAAAGCCCTTGCCACACTCAGTCTCCTTCTCTGCCTATAGACTAGGATGTAGTTCTCAGCTACTGTTCCAGCTTCTGCCTCTTTGCCACCATGCTTTTTGCCATGATGACCATGGACTAAACCTCTGAGACTGGAAGCAAGTGTCCAATAAGTGTTTTCTTCCACAGGAGCTGCTTTGGTCATATTGTCTCTTCACAGGAGTAGTGACTAGGACAGACATCTATGAAGTCTGGGACTTTATTTATCTATACAGAAAATGGCAATTTCCAGGTATCAGATGAAGATGGAAAATACTATCCTGAGTGAGGTAATCCAGACCAGAAAGACAAATGTTGCATGTTTTCATTCATATGTGGTTCTCAGAATTGAGTCACTAGGTGTGTGTGTATGTGTGTATGTGTGTGTGTACGTGTGTGCATGTGAATGTACTTGAGCATGCCTGCATGAATGTGTGTTTAATCTGAGCACCTGAAGGTTTCAGAAAAGCAGAACGGGCCCATTGGTAGGGTGAAGAAAGATTCTAAGGGGTGCAGGAGAGCAGAACACATGTGATGTTAAAATGAAAAACAGACAGAGCTCAGCTAGAGCTACCCTTCACAGGAAATTATGTTCCTCTGGTAGGAACTAAATATGATCAAAATTCATTGTATGTAATTCTCAATGATCTTACAGGAATACGAAATAGACAAGATAATGGAGTATATATCTTAACATGGCTGTGTGGGTAGATAGAAAATTCGAGAAAGGAGCCAAGTGCTATAGGAAAGGCACTGGAGAAAGGGATGAGTGAAAACAAAGTCTAATGTCACAAATATGGGGAATTTTTCAATTAAACACATTTGCAGATCAAAACTTAAATCTAAAGACTCCTGAAGTTTTTCTTCCTCCTCTTCCATGAGATTCCCTCATCTCTGAAAAGATCCTACAGAGATTTCCACTTTAGACTCTGTACGTGTGTGTGTGTGTGTGTGTGTGTGTGTGTGTGTGTGTGTGTGTGTGTATGTGTGTGTGTGTGTGTGTGTGTGATGTTTGGCTGTGGGTCTCTGTATCCACTCCTATTGACTGCCAGAGAAAACCTCTCTGATGATGACTGGTGAAGCATCAATCTATGAGTATAGCAGAATATTATTAGGAATCCTTTCACTGTGTTTTTAGACAAGTCATGTTTGTTTCTACCCTAGGTATCTGGCCTGTCCACGCTTGAGTTTCTGGCAAATCAAGCAGTACAGGATGCATTAAGCAAAGACCATATTAGAGAGAACATAGAACCCCTGCTCAGATGTAGCCCATAGACAGCTCAGTCTCCATGTGGGTTCTCTAGTAAGAGGAAAAGAGATAGTCTCTGACATGAACATGCTTGCCTGCTCCTTGACCACTTCTCCCTGAGGCTACCTAGCCAACCCACAGAGGAAGAGGATCCAGGCAGTCCTGATGGGAACAGTTTAGGCTAGGGTCAGAGAGTAAGGAAGAATGACTTCCCCTATCACTGGACTTGGGGAGAGGGATAGGAGAGGAAGAGGCAGGGAGGGTGGGACAGGGAGGAGATAAGGAAAAGGGCTACACCTGGAATACAAAGTGAATACACTATAAAGAACAACAACAACAATAATAATAATAATAATGGAAAAAATAATTCTTAAATTCCAGTCACGTCATGGTATTGCATAAGGTCTGCAGACAAAGGACACTCAGTAGAGAAATCACAACTACTTTGAGACTCTTTATTGCCAGCATTCTGTTGGAGGTCTATGGTGGTTTGAATAGATATGGCTCCTTGTAGACTCAGGTGTTTGAATGCTTGGTACATAGGGAATGGAACTATTAGGAGGTGTGGTCTTGTTGGAGCAGGTGTGGCCTTGTTGGAGGAAGTGTGTCACTGTGGGGGTGGGCTTTGAGGTTTCCTATGCTCAAGCTATGCCCAGTGTGGCACAGTCTTCTGCTGCTGCCTGTGGATCAAGATAAAAAACTCTCACTCAGCTCCTTCTCCAGCACCATGTCTGCCTTCATACTGCCATGATTTCTGCCATAATGATAATGGACTAAATCTCAGGAAATGTAAGCCAGCCCCAATTAAATGTTTTCCTTATCAGAGCTGCCATGATTGTGGTGTCCCTACAGAACAATAGAAACTCTAACTAAGAGAAGATCCGGAAAAGTGTATCAAGCCTCTCAGCTCAGGGCTCCCTGAGGGCCCCATCGAGACTTCTCCTGCTTCTACAAGCATCCAGCAACAGAGCCCCAAGGACTAACAGGAGGAGGATAGCCAGGCTAAGCCGGAGGCAGTTCTGTAGTATGTAATCTGATGTAGAAGACTCTGTAGAGAAAAAAAATGATATTTAAAGATTTATGTCAACAAATATTGCCATGGTCTGAATAGGTATAACCCCCACATAGACTCATGTGTTTAAAACCTTGACCAATAGGGGTGGCACTTTGAAGGGGAATGACTTGCTGGAGTAGGCATAGCCTTGTTGGAGGAAGTGTTTCACTGTGGGGGCAGGCTCTGAGGTCTTCTATGCTCAGGCTATGCCCAGTGTGGCACACAGTCTCCTTCTGCTGCCTGAAGATCAAGCTGTAGGACTCTCAGCTCCTCCAGCACCATGTCTGCTTGCACGCTGCCATGCTTCCCTCCATGATGATATGAACTAAACCTCTAAAATTGTAAGCCAGACCCAATTAACTCTTCATAAGAAATGTCTCTTCACAGTGATAAAACCATAACTTTTTAAATTTTTATTTATTTATTTTCTCCCAGAGCTGAGGACCAAACCCAGGGTCTTGTGCTTGCTTGCGAAGCAAGCCATCTACCTACCACTGAGCTAAATCCCCAACACCAAATAATTCATTTACTTTTATTTTATCTGTCAGATCACCTAGAACTGGAGTTACAGATGAGCTGCCACATGGGTGCTGGGAATTAGACCCTAGCCCTTTGGAAGAGTAGCCAGTGCTCTTAATCACTGAGCTATCCGTCCAGCCCCAAACCATAACTTTATTGCCAGCTCATGTTTCTTAAATGACCACAGATTTGGTCTTAGAACACAAAACATTTATTTCTACATGAGTTATAGAAAGACAACTTCTGCCAAATACACAAAACTGTAGGGGTTGTTGAGGAGGCTTCTTGGGTGGGGGAGCTAGAGACAAGTGTGACAAGTGTCAGACTCATGCAAGGATTATATTTTTCAAACAAAAAGAACAAAAAGAGAAACATCTTGCAGCCATACCAAATTCACTGCAGACTATATAGATTGAAATTGGTAGGGAGGAGGGCTCCCCCTTTCTGTGAACTAGAGGAAGGGAATAGGGGGAAGTAGAGGGATGAGGATGAGACCAGGAGGGAATGAGGAGGGGGCTCCAATTGGGATATAAAGTGAATAAATGATTAAAAAATTTTAAAAAATTGATGCTGATTACTAGAATATTGTAAAATGATTTTTCTGATTCTAGAACATTCACAAGAATCAGTTTTTTCACCCTAGCCATTAACTATTTAGACCCAGTTAGAATTTTCAAAGTGAAAGTTCATACTTGGGCTAACATATCTCTCAGCTTCAAATTTACATTACAGACAATAAACTAGTAAGTTTGATGAATACTAGATGTCGTTCTATACTCAATTCCTTGAGAATGTATTCTAGGCTCCTATCCTCCCCTGTCTTCTTCTGGCCTCCAGCTACCCCCATGATCACCACAAGGCCCTTTCTATAGTCACGTGGTTTGATTTTGTTTGAGAGCTAATGCATTTAGCCAGATAGATCTGTGTGACCAAGCATATGTAAATTGCCTTAGGAGCCTACTGGACTCACAAATGGTAACCCAGCCAATGGCAGTGATGCCCCAGTTTCCAGAATCTAGCAGAGGTCATTAGTTCATGATAAGGGTGTCAGAAAGTCTTGAGCTCTTCTCCCACCATAGTTGGCAGTTCACAGGCTCAGCCTGGCGCAGCCTGTGTGACAAGTGCAGTTGCAATGAGTTCGTAACTGGGATGCCTACATAGTGCCCAAGAATGGCATTCCATACCCTTTCATCGCCTTCCAGCTCTCACCCTTTCTCCATCCACTCTTCCACATATAGCATGGACCTTCTATGAGTGCTGTCGATGTCTTATTTGGGGCTGATTATTAAAACTTTCAGTTACTCGTCCTCAGCACATTGACTTACATATACCTATGCATTTGCTGCCTATCACTGCAAAGAGAGGCTTCAAAGAGAGAACACAGGTAGAGATAGCACATTGCCTTTCATCAATCTATGCTATGATGCGAGAGTAACTAAGACATACTGCTGGCACAGAAGCAGACATATAGACCCATAGACCGTAACAAAGGATACAAACAAAGATACAGTACAGAGGATATAGCCCACATAGCTATAAACACCTAATTTTTGACAATGCTGTCAAAATCAGCCAATAGGCAGAGAAAAGGACTCTTCGATAAGTAGTGATGGCAAAACTAAATATCTCTCTACAGAAGAATGAACTTAGCTCCATATCTATAGGTGAGGGATGACATCATGTAACCAGGAAAAGACAAGAGTGGGAAAGGGGATTTTGAAGATAAGGTGTAGGAATAGAATACAAGCAGTATGTCCAAGGCAAACGTGGTTAATGAGGGTAGAAAGGCATGAGCGGGGCTGGCAAGAGCTCAACAAATTGTGTCTAAAAATGCCATGTTGAAACCTGATAGGCTGTATGCAAATTAAATACTAACACTATTACCGGGCCTAATGGTAATTAAATGACCACAGATTTGGTCTTAGAACACAATACATTTATTTCTACATGAGTTATAGAAAGACAACTTCTGCCAAATACACAGAACTGTATGGGTTGTTGAGGAGGCTTCTTGGGTGGGGGAGCTAGAGACAAGTAGATTACAAAGTGCAGTTTTGTATTACCGGCCTAATGGCCATAGCTTTAATCCCAGTACTTGGTAGGCAAAGGCAAGTGAGTTCAAGGCCAGCCAGTACAACATGGTATATCCCAGTCTCAGAAATTATTAAACTTATGCTACTGCCCCAGTGGATGGCTACACATTCAATGTGCATATAAACGGCACTAATTAGACTCAGGCAGATATTAAAAATAAACAAGCAAAAAGAAACCTGCAGAGGTGATGGGTAAGGACACTAGGGAGAGTTAGAAGAAAGTAGTAATGGATAGATATGATGAATATGTGTTGTGTAAATGTACGGATCTGTTAAAGAATAAAAAATATCATTTAAATTTTTATCTTTGGCCAGGCAGTGGTTAGCACACATCTTTAATCCCAGCAATCAGGAGGAGGAGCAGGCAGATCTCTGAGTTCAAGGCCAGTCTGAGCTATAAAATTAGTCGCAGCACCCCAGGGTTACACAGTGAAACCCTGTTTCAAAAATCCAAGTATGAAAAAATGTTATTTTCATTATTTTTAATTATGTGTTCATGTGTGAGAACATGTGCACGCATGTGTGTGTGCATGTGGGCACGTCCTAATCAGTGCACTTTCCCACTGATGTTAGAAAAGGCTGTCAAAGACCTTAAATACAGCCGTGAGGCATCTGAGGGACTGATGAGAACCAAACTCAGGTTCTGAGAGAGAAAAAGTGCCCCTAACAACTGGGTCATCTTTCCAACCCTAAAAACTAAGAAATTTAAATAGATAAACATGAAGTAGAATGGGGAACTACTGGGAGAAAATAAAATAACAGTCTAGAGCAGCGAGGAAGCAACAGGGAGAGAATGGATGAAATATGAAAAAATGCCATGATGAAAGATGTCATTTTGCATGATAAATTTAAAAACTAATTAAAATAATAAACCTGGACAGCACAGAGGTTCATCCACAAAAAAAATCTATAAATAAGAGGAAAAATATATGGAACTATCATCTCATTAAGTGAAATAAACTAGAACTGGTGAGGAACCTAAAAAAATTGGGTATAAATATATGCAATATTATATACATTATATGCAATGTATGTAATGTATAATATATGTATCTGTATGTATGAATATGATGTATCTGTATGTATGTATATGTGTATGAACAACACATATTCCTATGTCCAATATACATCTACACATATGAAAGTTGAAAGGAGACTATTTGGGAAGAGGAAGGAGAGTAGACAAAGTGGGAAGAAAAGAAGAGGAAAGAGCAATGAGTTGAATATAAGCCAAATTTCAGGACATGCTGAAGGAAAACATCACAATGGAACCTATCACTTTGTTCAATAAGTACACACTAATAAAAAGTTCCATGCACTACACAAAGTGCTATAGGCTACCAAGGAAAGAGGGGAGCAAGACACTGTGGTCCTATCCAGGGAAGAGCACACACCAAATGATTGTTCCATGCCAAACAGTCAGCTCTGAATACACACATACAAGTAACATAATACAGGCTGAGAAGGTTATATTTAGGCGTACGTATGTACATATGTATGCATGTATATAAGCATACAATAACAATTAGTGAAAAAAAGAGGCCATGAATTTGAAAGAAGCAGAGAAGAGTATATGGGAATGTTTGAAAGGAAGAAAAAGAAAAGGAGAAGTGTTGTAATTATAGTCCAAAAAAGATTTTAAATTGTTTTGTCTGAACTTGCTGTGTGATGAAAGGGTGTGAGGGGGAAGAAAAAAGTAGAGAGACTGCTAGGGACCAGTAGATTAGGGGAAAGGTAATATTGACATGATGGGAAAAGAAGGGAAGTGATCTGACAGATGTTTTCCAGAAACAAAGAAGGGAATATGGTAAAGAACCTTGTAGAAAGAGTGCAAGAGAAAATTGACAAGTACTGCACGCACGAGTACAGATGAACTCTCGCGCAATGAGGACGCGAGGAAGAGAGGGTGCTCTGATATTAGCCAATTGGGATCTCTGTTGGATGTGACCAAGTGTCTGAGCTGATAAATTCCAAATATTCCATTAACTACACAATTCAGGCTTATGGAGGTGTCTGAATATAGCACTAAAATTAACGGCCGTCAGAATATGTTACACTGGAGCAAATGTCTAAAAATGTTTATCACTATTGTAGTTTCCTTTCTTTAGCTGAAAGAAAATATTATGACCATTAGCAACTTGGAGAGTAAGGTTGATTTATCTTGAATTTCTAGGTCACACTCTGTTGTTAAAGGAGGTCAGGGCAGGAACTCAAGCAGGACCCTGAAATTGAAACCATTTATAAACACTGTTTGCTGCCTCCCTAACTATGGACTCTTGCTTAGCTAGAGCTAACATAGATAAAGGAGTCATATAGGAGATTGCTAAACTCATTCAATGACAGAGACGAAGTGTTGACTGACAGCCAGGCACAGTAGTGCACAACATTTAATCCCATCATTGAGGAAACAGAGGCAGGACAGACAAGACTATAGGAAACTGTGTGCTCATGAGTTAAGGAGAGAAGGGTTGACCTGAAGAGGCAGGAAGAAGAAATATCACAAGTAAGAGCATTTCAAAAGATAGAGTGAGACAATGAGGTCATGGGTTTAAAAAAAAAAAACTGAATGACAGAGAAAGTCAGAAGATCAAGCCTTAGAGAAAGCTCACATCTGTATCCACTTAGGATGAGAGAAGCCTAATGCTGAAAGTCCCTTAAGTGGACTCTGCTTGGGTATTTTGTAGAGGCACTGGGTTCTCTCTTGACACTTTGGCTTCTTTAGATACCCACCTATGCCTTCCCAACTTCTCTGATCACAGTATCTTCAGAGAATAAGAAGCCATCAATTTGGGGAGACTGTTCTCAAGTTCCTTTACTACCATTGTTCCTCTACCTCTCCTTTGAGAACTTTTGTATACAGCTCAGAGCAACCTGACAAAAAAAAATTGGCTTGTGGACAGTAGTCTCGGCTCTCCTGCATAAGCTAATGATCAAGAGAGTGCCCCACAATCATGCCTACAGGACAATCTGATATATAACCTTGAGCAAAGACTCAAGGCTTTCCTCTCAGATGATTCTAGGCTAGGTCAAGTTGACAAGCTAGCTAGAGCAACCACCAGACCTTATACGTTGATTGCTTACACCCAAGCTTATCACACACCTCCTCTTCTTAGCTCTACCTGCGACATTCACACTCAGTGTTTTGTTGTTGCTGTAGTAGCCGCCTGGCTTACTGAAAGCAAGGATGTGCACTTGGCTGAAAGAAGCATGCTATTGTTTTGTTTTCACTTATTTCCCACTACTTCTATGCTTTGACATTTCACAGGTGTATGCGATGTATTTTGATGTTTTTCATGTTCCATTTCTCACTCTATCCCATCCCCAGCTACAGCAAACCCCTTTTTTATCCAACAAGTCTCATTCTATCTTTTGAAATGCTCTTACTTGTGATATTTCTTCTTCTTTCTGCCTCCTCTGGTCACTCTTCTATCCTTAACTCATGAGCCACAGTTACGCACAGCTCTTAGAAAACACTTCTGTTCCTCTAGTCTCCATATCTAGAAAAGACCACCTCTACTGAAAACCAGAAACATACCAAATAACTAGATGAGCTGAGGATACAGAACTGAATCATGTACATCACAGAGGCCACATCTGCTCCCTTGTGCATAATCCTGCAAGGTCCTGACTACATATCTCTCTTGTTCTCTTCTGCAAATGTCTTCATACTTTCTCCATGACTAGCATGGTGGCTATTCAGACACAACACTGTGTGAGCAAAATGAGGTGTGAGCAAAAGATTCAAGTCCTGAATGTTTCAAGTTCTTGAATGAAGAAACTAGCAAAGAGCCTTTCAACTTCTCTATAAGTATTAGCTAGGGAGGAGGCTGTGTGTGTGTGTGTGTGTGTGTGTGTGTGTGTGTGTGTGCGCGCACGTGCACGCTGCAGTAGGTTGCACAGCTAGCAACTGTGTGCAATACCACATATCAAGATGGGCAATATGTATTCTCCAAAAAAACACAGCTGCATCTGCCCTAATTTCACATCATTAGCAAACAATGCTCAGAGTCCGTAGCACAAATACACCAATTCCAGTTGGATTAGCAGTGCAGTGTGCAACAAATACTAGACAGCAGACATACGGTAGAATTGATATATCCCACACGGCATCATCTCTGGGATCTGTCTACACACAGAGATAATGAACAAGTATCAGACATGCTTACCTGAGAAAGAGAGCTCAAGAGGGTCACTAGGCAGTGACCACAGGTTGGGGTTGTTTCTGTAAGAGCCAAAGCATCTATAGGTACTCCTGTGCCTTGAGCTCCCAGGAGAGATGGGAAATGTGTTGGAGTCCTGACGTAAGCAGTTCTGGGGAAAGGAAGCATTTCCATCTCTGCAGAAGATGAAGGTGTCAAAGAAAGTAGGTGGATGACAGAGGAGAGTCACATTTCTTTCTGAGAGGCCCTGGGGTTCTGAATCAACAGTAAGCAATGGCTTTCCACGGTAAACACCTGGAAGGGAAAAGACCCTGTTATTAGCTGGCCATGGTAGCACATGCCTTTAATCTTAGAACTCAGGAAGCAGAGGCAAGTAGACCTCTGCAACTTTAAAACCAGCCTGGTCTGTATAGAAATTCAAAGACCAGACAGAGTTACATGTGAGACCCTCTCTCAAAAAAGATCACAGAAAGATCCTGTTACTTAAAACATTATTAAAATTAACCCTGCAATTCACAGTCTGTGCAGAGAGAGGAAAAACGTGAAAACAAAAGGAAATTCATCCATTGCTAAACTATAGGAATCACAATATGTGTTTCTCTTATTTCCTATGAGCCAGGACCATAGAGAGACTCTGTGTAGTTACAGAAGGATGTTGTCATTCCCCATGAGTGAGAGACCAAAGTGGCAGCTATCATTAAAACCTAGAGTAGGTGCGGTAAAGTAGTTAGTAATGCCCTGAGGGGAGAGCTACCTCGCTGCATTCTTTCCCCACCCACTAGAGATGCGGTTGCTAGGAAACTGGACCATCCCCCCCATAGGGAGGGACACCTGGTCATTAATGGCTTGGGACCTTCCTATAGCCAATCGATTCAAAATGTAGCATTTTGACCAATAGATGCTTGCCAGGCAGGAACTGCTCCTGCCTTGGGTATGCTGGGAGGGACCAGAATCTATAAATCACCCAACTAACCTGGGCACGGGCGCTCAGCTCCCACCGCTTCAGCGGTTGGGTTGTGTTGGCCCAGCTACAGCTTGTAATTTACAATAAAAAGACCCTCATGTGTTTTGCAACGGAGTCGATTCCTGTAGATCTTTTGGGGGCTCACGAACTGGGTATAACAATGAGCTCCATCTCTGAGGGACTATAGTCACCATTCTTAAGGGAGCCTGGACCATAGTCAGCAGAGAGAGAGGATCACAAACTGACAGAGGGTCAGGGACTTAGTTGGTATAGTCTTGCCAAAAATAAGCAATGCCATGCGTTCTGTTCCTGTCAACTCATGAATGCTGTGATTGTCGAGGCTGGTCCTAGAAGCAGAAGGAGCAGAAGTTCAAGATAACTTTTGGATACCCTTGAAGTACAAGGCCAGACTGACATATTTGAGATATTGCCTTTAAAAAAAAAAAAAAGTAAAGAAAAATGGAAACGGAAAAGAAAAGGATGAAATGAAAGAAGAAAGAAGGAGATGACAGGAAAAGATATGAGAAGAAACGACAGGAAAATAGAGGAAAGGAAAAGAAAGAGGAGAGACCAAGGTGTTGGAGCACAGATTAGGGCAGGGCCTGTGAGGGGACATATGTGAGGGGAGCAACAGTGACTGAGGCTGAAGAACACTGTTGTTGGCAGTTACTCACCTGTCACCATCAGCTCCAGTTTCTCACTAAGTGCAGACCATCTGTCTTCCTTGTAGTAGTCACAGTAGTAATCCCCTGCATCGACGTGAGCCACATTCTGCAGACTGAACTCAAAAACCTCCTGGGCTCCCTGCATAGTAAAATCATGGCACTCTCTATGAGAATCAGAATGGACCAGACAAACTATGCTCACTCCTGGAGGGGTCCTGCAGAAGATGGTCACAGCACTGCCTGTGGACACCACAGCTCCTGGAACTGCCCAAATAGAAGACTGGGGCAATGGACCTGGAGAGACACGGAAAAAGAACTCTAGCCATCAGATGTCAGGAGAGCCTGGTTCCCAAAGAGCTATGGACTGGCTCCCACATCAATCATTCATCCAGAAAAATGCCACACAGGCATGCTCACAGGCCAATATGGTGGAAAAAAATCCCTCTGTTGGCATTCCTTCTTCCCACATGACTTCAGCTTATTTTCTGTTGAAAGAAAACTAACCAGGACACCTCCGATGTGAAGGCTCAACTCACAGTTTTCAGAATTCCTGACGTATTTCAAGTGGCATAATTAATCGTCTTTCTGGTTCACAAACAATGTTGGAATAACTCTCATCTTTAGTGCTATCTAATGCCTTCTCCTCTCATCAACTGCCAGCCCAGGAACGAACCTTCAGCATTGTCATTCTTAGCACCACATCATGCCACTTCCCTGGGACAGTCACCACGGTGTCCCATTAAATCCCTGACCTATGTCTTACTTTGTCTCTTGCTGCCATGTCAACCCAACCACTCTGCACACCTCCAATATCAGATAAGATCTAGGAGCCTCTGAAAATAAAGGAATCCTGTCTGTGCTGCACCTCAATAGACAGCATTAGCTTCAGTTCTGTCCCATGGATGATGTGTCTTCCCAGGAGTAGGCCACGGAAGGACACAGGCCAACTGAACAGAGATGGAGAAACAGGGAAGTACACACAAAATTAAATGTCTGTATTCTCAGGAAGTGTGTATGTGTGTGTGTGTGTGTGTGAATGCCCCTTCTCTGTGTCATGTCTTTTGATATCCTTCTGAGCCAGATATCATGTGAACATTATTAGCCCAAGGTGGAGAATCCACACTCCAAAGATGGCTGCAACATACAGATTAAATATGAGGAGTGTACAGGTAGCTGCTGGTGAACATCCATCTCAGGATGTGAGCAAGATGCGGCAAGCTGCTCCCATGCTACTCCCACACAAATTCAGTTTCCCAGGGTAAAAGCAGACAACAGACTCACCAGAGTGTGCCCAGATCCTCTGCTCTATTAAACACACTGAAACATAAAAAAAAAAAAAAAAAAAAGAAGACCTCGTAAGAGATGTCATGTCATACACTGATCCCAACCCCAAGAGCTCAGATAAAGACCAGGGTCAGGTGAACGTGCTCAGGTCAGGAGTGACCGCTTTGTCCCCATTCCAGGTCTTCATAGAGGAAAAATTCTGTGACAAGATCCCAGGTTTTTCCTGCACATATATAGCCAGTGGCAGTTCAGTATCCAAGTGGTTTCCATAGTAATGGGAAGAGGGACTGCTTCTGACATGAACTGATTGGCCGGCTCTTTGATCACCTCCCCCGTGTCAGGGAGCAACCTTACCAGGCCACAGAGGAAGACAATGCAGCCAGTCCTGATGAGACCTAACAGACTAGGATCAGAAGGAAGAAAAAGAAACCCTCCCCTACCAGTGGACTTGGGGAGGGGCATGTGTGAAGAAGGGGGAGGAATTGGGAGGGGAGGGGGGAAGGAACTACAGGGGGGATACAAAGTAAATAAAATGTAATTAAAAATAAAATTAAATTAAAAGAAAAGAACAAAATAGAAAACAAAAACAAGAACAAAAGATCCCAGGTTTTAAATCTGAGAGTCTGGAGTCACTACCCTCAGGCTAAGAATAACGATCCCTGTAGCACTTACCAAATCCAAAAAGAACAGCCTCAAGGCCCATGGCAGTGCCTCACACCAGACCTCCACATACACACACACACAGAAAACTAGGGGCACAGTCTGCATAGTGGACACACCCATGGGGGAGAGCAGACTGGGGCCCAGAAACCCTGTCAAGGGTGATGTCATCCCAAAATCCAGGAAGAGGATATTCTCTTGCACAAGATCTGCCTCTGACTCCTCATTTCTACATCACAGCTCTGGGCCAGGCAACAAACAGTTCCTCTACGTGTTTCCTCTTCTGGATTTAAAATCTCACAGAAATTATGGGTGTGGGTATACAAAAATTAGAAAACATGGATCCAAAATACTCCATGAATCTCATGCAACAGTTAGACTATTCAGGATGGAATATTGGAAGACAGGAAATATGAAAAATTGAAATATAGGAGGGGAAAACTGGGGAAGAAACAGACCAATGCTTCTGTATATGTGCATGCTCTCAGCAAATACATCCCAACCAAATGACTACACAGCCAAATCCTTACGGTTGACAATATCAAAGGGGAACAAACAGGAACATAAATAACCCAACTCAAAAGCAGGCTATGGAACTAAACACAGAGTTCTCAGAACAAATGGCTAAGAAGAATTTCCAAAGTGTTCATAATCCTTGTCCACCACAGAAATTCAAATTAAAACTATTCTGAAATTTCTTATTACCCATCCAGAGTGAGTGATTAAAAAACCAAAAGAAGGACCATACCACACATGGGGGAAGACAACCAGAGGCCTGTCAGCAGCCACAGCCTGTGGCACAGGTGAGTGGAAGGCACCCAGAGGCCAACCCACTGCAGCCTGCAGTCGGAGCCACTATGATGTGCAAGTATGTGGTGTAGAGATGGTAAAGAAAGACAAACGGCATGGTTTGAGAATTATAAAGACAGGCAGAACTTCACACATCACAATGGAGAGGAATAGCCTGATGTGGGTAGCCTGTCCTGCACCTGAGGCCATGTTACAGTTCAAGCCCATGCTGTTGCTGAGAGCCATGTCAGGTTCATGGCCATGAACAGCATGGCTCATGTTATCACAAAAGACCATGTGAATGTCCCTGCTCTGGGATGCCTCCTGGGTCCATGTTAATGTCCAAGGGCTGTGAAGAGCTAGCCCCGTCTCTCAAAGGTCGCAGCACTCTAGAGAGCTAGCCAACCCCTTGATGATTGCAGAACTCAGGAGAGTAGGCCCTGCACCTCAACTGGGCTGCACAATAGAGCTGGCCCTGATTGCAATGGCATGGGTGAGCCAGCCCTACAGGCAGGAGAGCAGGACAGCTGGTCCTGCCCTTTGCCAGCTATTGGGTTAGAAAGCCACAGCAGTGCTGGAAAGCTCACTCTGTGGTGTGGGTGGTGGAGAGCTGGTGGGCTGAGAAACTCACCTGCCACCCAGGACCAGATCCACAGTCTTAATTGGGCCCACACCAACATCAGTCTCATCTATGAACTACTGGAGCACTGGAAAGAGCTGATCCTACAGAACCAATGCTGACGGATCTCCATGACACAGGGCAACAACAGTACTCTAGAGGAGGCCCAGGCAGAGTCCCATATCAATAGTGTAGCAGAAGCCAGAGGCGTTAAACCACACCAATGACTCATTGCAATGAATATTTGCAAGTAAACAGGTGTGGACAAAAGGGTATACTGTGTGACACACTGACAACTGCAGCTTCCATGATGAGATTCTTTTATGTTTGCTTTTGTTTATTTTGTTGTTAATTTTCATTTTCTTTGGGGGAGGAGGTTGCAAGGACAGAGGGAGGATGAGAAGGGATGTTGAGATGAGCAGGATTAGGATACATGTTGTGAAACTCGTAAAGAATCAATAAAGAGCTAAGAGAAAGAAAAAAGGAAGGAAGGAAGGAAGGAAGGAAGGAAGGAAGGAAGGAAGGAAGGAAGGAAGGAAGGAAGGAAGGAGAAAAAACACAGCTGAGTATTTTGTGGTGAATGAGAACTCAATCTGCTGTTGGCTGGAATACAAATTGGTACAGCCACTGTGGAAATTAGTGTACTAGTTACTCAGAAAACTGAAAGTAGATCTACCATGTGCTCCTGGCAAATAACTAAACGATTCTATTCCCTGCTGCAGAGACATGTGCACTCTCTGATGATGACTGGTGAAGCATCAATCTATGAGTATAGCAGAATATTATTAGGAATCTTTTCACTGTGTTTTTAGACAAGTCATGTTTGTTTCTACCCTAGGTATCTGGCCTGTCCACGCTTGAGTTTCTGGCAATCCAAGCAGTACAGGACATGGGCTCCTTCTGGAGTGGACCTCACGGATGGGTCTGCACATACGTTATGGTTGTTAACTTGGTGGTTTTGTGGGAATCCTTACAGTGGCAGCAGGTGTATCTCTAACTCTATTTTTATTATTATTTACAATTTATTCACGTTGTTGTTTCTAACTCTTTTGCCTGTTCTCTAAACTCTTTTCACCCTATTGGGTTGCCTTGTCCACCCTCAATAGGAGGTGTTTCACATTATCTCTTTGTATCTTGGTTTCTCCTGTCTGGCTGTCATCTCCTGCAACCCAACTCTTTTCAGAAGAGGAAACAGAGGGAGAGTGGTTCTGGGGGAAATGGGAGGAGAGAGACCCAGGAGGAGTAGAGGGAAGGGAAACTGTAGCTGGGCAGTATTATATGAGAGAAGAATCTTTCTCAATAGAAAATAAACATGAATTAATGTAAAAAGAAGCAGAAGAAAAAGAAGACGGCGACGACAATGACGACGACGACAGGGGCTGTATTTGACAAGGAAACTCCCACTGGAGGCCAGATGTTGCTCACAAGGTGAGTGATGGAGGAGAACAGTGAGAAAGCAGGACAGAGCAGGTAACTGATTGCATGAGGTATAGTAGAGATGAAGCACATGAAGCTGAAGGAGAGAAACTGACTGGGACAGAGAGAAATGAAGAAACAAAGACTTAAGTCAAACCAGCAAAGCTGTGAAGGGTGGCCTGGACACCCTCTGAGGGATCTACACAGGCAAACCAGCAAAGCTGGGATAAGGTGGACAGGACACCCCCTAACAAATCTACACAGGCAAACTGGGAACTCAATGAGTCACTTATATATGCTTCAGGAGTGAGGGGTTAGTCAGCTAGTCTCAGAGAGGGTCTCTGCAGGAGAGCAGACTGAGGCTGCAGTCATCCTGGATGAAGAAGCTGAAGATGGTTTTTTCTGCACTCACTATCAACATCTACACAAAAGGCAGGGGAAGGCTTGCGTTTTCCCATGAGTCTAGGGTGTTGGTGTCCATGACATGGCTGTGCTCATGTTGACAGTGCGCATTAGCTCACATTCCAAAATCTGTTCTCCACAGGGTAGAAGGGAATAAAGAAAAGCAAAACAATCATATGCAGAGAAATAAATGAGGGATGGGCACTGCACAGAGAGTCACACAGGACACAGAAAAGAGAAATGGGGCTCTACTATTTGCAGGATCTCTTCTGCTAACAATGCACAAAGAATTCTGAAATTCCGGAGACATCACAGGTATTGTACCACATCTCGAAACACTGAACACTCATTAGAGAGATCACAACTCCTTTTAGACTCTTTATTCACAGTATCTTGAAAAAGTCTAAAAAGAGACAGAAAGGCTCTCAGCTGAGGGCTTCCTGTGGACCCTATGAAGACCACTCCTGATCTTGCAAGCATCAAAAAATAGAACCCCAAAGCCCAACAGGAGGGGAATAGCCAGGCTGAGCTAGAGTCAGTTCTCTAATCTGTAATCTGAAGTAGAAGACTCTGTGGAGTGAAAAAAAAAATTATTTAAAGTTTTATGTCAAAAGATATAGTTATAAAGATCAAATTTATTATGGGCTAGTTTTGCTTAAATGACCACAAATTTGGTCTTAGAACCGAATACATCTCTACATGAGTTATGCAAAGACCACTTCTGCCAAACACAGAGAACTGTAGGGAGAGTTGAGGAGGCTTCCTGGGTGGGAGAGCTAGGAGCAAATAGATTACAAAGTGCAGCTCCTGCCCCTTCTACACTTTTAGACTCAAGCAAGGATTGCATTTCTTTGGAACAAACCACAAAAAAAGCACTTTGGAGCCATATCAAAATCATCACAGACAATATGGAATGGAATTGGTGCAGACTGCTAGAATACTATCATTGTGGATTTTCTGTTTCTAGTATAGTCACTAGAATCAGTTGCATAACCCCAACCACTAACTACTGAAGACCCAGTTACTATTTCCAAAGTGAATGTTCGAATTTGTGCTATGTTTCTTAACTTCAATTTCACAATAGATAGCAACAATCTAGTCAGTTTCATGAACACTAAATGTCTCTGTGTACTCAGTTCTTTGACAGTATATTCTGATAATTCTGGGTTCCTATCCTGCCTTCTCTCCTACCAGCCTGTACCATCCTCTTCACAAACCCCTTTTCGTATAAACTCATGTGTTTTTGTTTTGGGTGAGAGCCAATGTGTTTAACCATGGCTGTCTGTATGACCAGGGGTTTGCAGCTCTCCACAGAAACTCACAAATGATTGCAAAGTCAGTGGAAGTGACTCCACAATTTCCAAAATAAGTCAGTGGGCACTAGTTCATCAGGAGGATGTCAGGACCTCTTGATGCCTTCTTCCATTCATAGTTGGATGTTGACAAGCTCAGTTCAGTCTGATGCAGCCTCAGTGGCAAGCTGCAGTGGCAAGATACAGCCTCAATGTTGCATTGAGTTCATAACTCAATGCTACCTCAAGTCCAAAGAATGGCATTCTATACCTCTTCTTACCATCTTCCAGCTCTTACATTTTTCCAACTACTTTTCCAAGTACAGCATGAACCTTATATGAATGGTGTAAATACCTTATTTAGGGCTAAGTACTAACCCTTCGGTTACTTATCCTTAGCACATTGAGTATTAATATGTCTCTGCGTTAACTACCTATCACTGCAAAGAGAGTCTTCTCTGGTTAAGGCTGAGAGTAGCATTTGTCTATGGGTATAAGCATAAATTGAGTAATTCTAAACATATG